ATGAACCTAACACTAACCCTTACCCTAACCCTTATCCTAAACCTTAACCCTCACCCTTACCCTAACCCTAAACCTAACCCTAAAAGTTACCCTAAAACTAACCCCTAACCCTAACCTTTACCCTGACCCCTAACCCTTACCGTAACCCTAACCTCTGACCGTAACCCTTACCCTAACCCTAATCGTGCTCAAATCGAGCTCGAATCGCTGTCGACAAACCTGAAAATGTGGAGTTTTGTTCTGCCACTACCAAGGAAACTCCTGCCCAATTCCGAAGCCTAGTTCCGCAGCAATTCGCTCGGTCGCTTCCGAAACATCCTCGCTGTATGGCAGCACATGCCATACAGTATGGGTTGGTTCTAGTTGACTCATCTATCTCTGGCAATGGACTCCAGTAAAAACCCGTAAGCTCAGGGGATTAAAAATTATGATTCCGGCGATCGACACGCCTTCTCCTTCTCTGGCTATAAACATACCTGGGATGCGAACATTTGCCTCAATGCGTAAGGATGAGTCAGTCTGACCCGTGACCAGCAGTCATGAAAACACGCGGACGCTTTCCAGTTCAGTAAGTAGAACATGACTGCTCCAGTTATTCGGCTGCCCGAACGCCCCGTGCGCACACATAGAACACACGCAATAGGTGTTCTAACTGATGGGCATTCGACATTCCGGCTAACAGTGGCTACTGAGACGGTGTTAGTGAAGATGTTAGCATTTTAATTCGCATTTAATTCTCTTGATTATCGGTCTCTTTGTCAATGCAAACGTGCTTAACAAAAAGCACTTAGAAAGACGTCTCTTTCCATCTTCCTTGCCCGCCTTAAGAAAATGGATTCTTCGGTTTCAATAATGTTTTCCAATTTCCGAGCGGCTTGAAACACAACATGTGACATAATTTGCGTCTGTGGATTCAAAATGACACTTTCCGTTGAAGGATAATCAAAACTCTCAAACAGTATGAAAAAAACTGGCATCTGACGCTAATAGCTGTACCACATTGTAAACTCCAGAAGTATCGTTAATAAAAGCGCGGATAAAGTGCTACTTAAATAAAACATTCTGCTGTTTTGAAGTTGTCTTAGGTGCAAACTATCACAAACAGCCATAATAAGCCAATTAGTCGCAAGTTGGGTATACCTCGCAGACGACAGCAAATAAGCCAGAAATTGACAGCAGTTTTGATCGCAATTGTCAATTTTAAAAAAATGTGCTTGTGCATTTTTCGCGACCACGGAATGCTTTAAATTGTAGAAGTTTCGCCTGCGTCAAGAACTGTCCATTAAGGAAATGTGCAAGTCAATAACTACGACGTTTCGAGTTAATAAAAGGTCAACAATGCTGCCTGGACAGTATGCATTTTAGCTCCTTGAAGCAAGACTTTTACGTACGGAAATTTTAAGGGCTAGGTGTAGCAGCGTTTGCCTTGCTGACATAATGAACAACTAGTTGGTTTGCAGGTAGCAAGCAATGTCGGAAAATTAGTGTGAGCTGCCATCTATATTGTGGGAAAGTGTGGATGTTAGTAAAGAGGAGTACCTTCTCACTGAAGCAGTCAATGACGTCATGCACGTAGTCCCGAATTTCCTGAAAGAACAAGAGACTTTTGGCAAGCTCGGGTAGCGTAGCACGCGACTTGGAAATCAGATCCCGCCCACGAGCGAGGTCTTCTTGTGCCTGTGCCAGTTCAGCCTTATTAGAGTCCACTGTCTGTTTGAGCTTCATTCGCCTGCAAATATTGGCATTATACACAATTGTGGTAGTTAAACAGCAACGCCTACTTAATAATATTCAGTAGCATGTTAATTGCTGCATGAAGGTGAGAGTGGGAAACATTTAGTATCGACCGACTTGGTGGTAAATCAACATTTACAGTATGTGCCTAGTATGTGCCTATGTTACCTAGTCTGCAAAAGCGACTTCATGGAGGAAAGTGAAATGTCTCCGGATGGACTTTGGTAGGCCTCTGAAGCTCTCTTGAACTCTGCAGCTTTCTGCTCGTTTATTCCGGGCACGGACTGCAGAGCGTCTAAAACCATTGTATTCTACAAAAAGTAGTAAATGGAATTTGTTGAAGGTTTGTGCAAAGTTGATATGCGCAAAATGTTTGAAAACATGAATAAACATAAAGAGCCAAAACGCGTATTTTTAGGCTGTGTATTTCGTTCTATATATTAGAAGTTTCGCAAGAGTTACTAAAGGACCTTATGTGCGCTTAAACCAG